GACAAAAATCACCAATTAGGATCTCAAATTGTGAAGTAATCCCTCCCTTGGTTCAACCTCCTCTAAATCCTCCCCCACATCCTGCCCAGATAGAAACTAAACTTTGTTTATGAAAATGCACCTCAAAGAGCTGTTTCCAGCCTTGGTTCCCAAGAAGAACCAAGATAGGATTAGGGACCTTGTACTCTCCAGGGCATGGAGCGCTGAAATATGTTTTGCCTTTCTGCTTAGGGAAAAGGTAGGGAAAACTAGCCACAGATACAACAACAGGCTACAGAGCTACAAATATATGTGTAAAGAATGCAGAGAATATATAAAAGAAAACAGGCAAAAATAAATCTGGCATCACCAGGTCAACTGTGTCCTGTCTCACAGTAGGTGGCACTCTTCCCTGTGTTAATCAAGATAGGCTGTGCTGAGAACAACCATCCCACATCTGTACTAGTCCCTGCCACGCTGGTAAATATTTCCTGAAGTAAATTTCAGGGGCTGCATGGTACTAAAGACACCGAGTGAAAGAATGTCACTCAGCGTTGGGGATGGCCATTACCCTGTTCAGTGCGCAGACCAGCTTAGAGTCACCCAACCATCCTGGAACAACTTTATTGTGCTGTGTTGGCAAAATTCTGCTGCACAAACAATTTCTCCCAGTTCTGTACAACCTCAGCCACAGACATTCCCTCACCTAAACCACGGATCTTTCCTATCACATCAAACACATCAAGGCATGTGAAACCCCTTTCTGAAGCAGTCCCTTGTGAAGGGACTTCCACCCCCTTCTGTATGTGCCCAGGGACCCTAGCACCCATTGTGCCCTGGCACAAGGGACACAAGGCTCTCCCTCTGTCTGTCTCCAAAAGCCTTTGAGCACAGACTCAAGTGTCCTAGCAGAGACTCAGGGCCCCCCACCTTGTGCCTTATGAGGGCCTCCACAACTCCTCTGTGGCCACCTTACACTGATCATGCTCTGCATGCCTCCTCAACCCTCTTCCAGTGATTTCACCAAATCTGTACCAAATGCCACAACAATGGAGAGGCTCAAATGCACCTGAATAATTTACAAAGAGTCTGCAGATGGAGTTGTAACATTCCCCATTTGGCTCCTTCCTACTGTAAAGATCCCAGGTGAACTCACCAGTACCTGCAATGAAGGACAAATGCACCAGCAGTACTGCCCTTGGGTCCCATCTGGGCTGCCAAAGTGCTGAGGAAATTCCCATCTGTGACCATTCCAGAGGCACAGGTGACTCCAATGAGCCAATGGTTGCCCCATTTGATTCCCTACCCACACCACTCTCACCACTCAGAGCAGGTTTCCAACCCATTCAACCTCAAGATTCCCCATCAGACTCACAGATGTTGCATTCCATAAAGAGCCACCAGCTCCTGCTGCAGTGCTCAGTGTCCATTGAAATCCTGGCCAGAGCCACAGCTCCCTGTGCCCTCTGTAATGCAAAGCATGGGCAGTTCACAGCCTCTGGTCCTGGGCTCCTGCCAGCCAGAGCTCAATCTGCAGCTGGCACTGCAGCTGCACACCCAGCTCCCTGCCCCCAGTGGATTCCTCAGCCACTGCCTGCCCCGGGGGCTGCACAGCCTCATCCTGCAAGAAGAGAGACCTAAAGAAAGCAGCAGAGAGCCTTGTTACAGGGGCAGGTCCTGAGAGGACAAGGGACAGGGGCTCTACAGTGACTGAGGGTGCTGGAGCTCACCTCTATGCAGGGGTGGCTCCGTGAGGTGGAAAAGTCTTTTCTTCAACCCATGCTTTTAAAGAAAAACTCAGTAGTCTTCTGTTGTCCGGTCCCAAGGTAGTTTATTGCAAGTTACCTAAAAGATTTTCTTCTTGAGCTGCTGTGGTTTGCTCAGCAGCTCAGGCAAAGGCACACACACACCCTGACATCCTCCTTGACTCGTCTTTTTCTTCTCTCTCCCCCCCTAGGGCTAGTGCTATCTTTTATATGATACATTACGTGTTAAATGTTTATAGTTTTTCCTTAATGCTTATTACCTATATTAAATGATGCTTTTCTACTCTAGATTAATTTGTGAGTGCTAACATCACTAAGAACATGGAGGTAAGGAAGAAGAAAGAGGGAGGACAGGGCAGGCCTAAATCTTTCTATTTTAAAACTTCTGACTATTATGTACAAGACCTAAAACTCCCTTGTACAGCACTCAAAAATTCTTCTTTCTACTTTGTGACTATTTCTACTATAATATCTAAACTTTTGTGAATTCTTGTTCTTCTTGCAAGGTTGGTAAATTGTTTCATGGTTCAAATCTAAAATCACAGCTGTTTCTAGCTGCCTGCCAGAGTCTTAAATGCTTCTGACTTGGACCTGGAATATCTAAAAATGTCTGAGAGACATTTTGAGTTCCGACAAGAGGGTAGCTTTAGACGAGATCATATGAAGGAAATCTTGACTGTGAGGCTGCTGAGATACTGGCATTCCAGAGCAGCTGTGGATGCCTGATTTTTGTGTAAGTAGGGTCAGCACAGAAGACACAGATACCAACTTCAGGAATAAATTTAATTTACTATCATTCAAAACTGCAAAGAATTGCAAATGGATAAGTAAACAGGACATCAAATCATTAGTAAATATTTACAAAAGGATAAGATAGGCAATGCATCTAATCATTACTATACAAGACTGACTACACTGATGAAGAAAGACACATCACAAGTTCCCTTAATCCTTGACCATTATCCAGGCCTGCCCATCAACTGGGGGGAAGCCACTGTCACAGTGAAGGACTGGTGAACCACTGATAGTAACTGGGAAATCCTGCAGGTACCTTCCTCTACAGGCACTGAGGTTACTGACTGTGCTGTGAGAGGTCCCCATTTTTATACTGTGGAATAAGCAAGATAGCAAAACTTCTAGTGCAGTAACATCTGGTTTCAGTGTCCTACTGGGATGCTCCTGAGGCCTGGGAGGGCTCCAGGAGAAACCAACAGATTTGTCTGTGATCCCACATGCCCAAACCAAGGCCAGATGTGGCTTGTCCAGTTCCTAATTATGGAAAGGTAAATCCATGTTTCTCCACTGGGTGGATATACATAACATTTGTTTTGAAGATTCATCTAATAGTCAATTTCGGCTAAAGGCTTGTTGTTCTGACCTTAGTCAGGACCTGTTGATCAGGACTTATTACCTCAATGCCCCATCCCTCAAAGTATTCAAGGACACTTCTGAGCCAAGACATGTACACTGTGGACAGCTGTGCCTACTGCAGGCCAACCCTCGGTGCCCAAGGCAGTGGGGTTGGAGCGAGATCATCACCGAGGTCCCTTCCACCCCAAACCATTTCATGGGTCACCAAGTAGATGTTGCCCCTCCCCCAGTGGGTTCCATGACACAGATCCCCAGAGAGCCCAGAACATGGAACCCACCTCTCTGTGACATCAGCCCCGG